ATAATAAATATATATTGAATTTATTATATATTATTGACACATCAAGGATGATAGTAATTAATTAATTTTAATGCTAATAACAAATTTCTGAAAGAAAATGTTATAAAAATTAAACATTAAATAATAGTTAATACATTAGTAGAGAAATGCGAGCACGCGCGATGGAATGAACTAAATATAAATAAATTATGGAAAATGATTATTTATAATAAAGTTATACAAATACAACTATTTGACGTTTGTGTCTCTATATTTTTGACGTTTAGTTTCATTTTTTTCTTATAATTAACCAATATCTATTTAGACAACAAAAAATCAAAATTTAAAATATATGTTAATTACATATATATAATAACATGTACATACGTAATATATTATATTAATAATTATTACATGCACAAATAACACGCATGAACACAAGACATGTCTTATGTCTCGTTTCTAAACATACATATTGCGTATTGTCTATGTAAATATTAATAAAACATGTTATACATATGTAATTAATCTTTTGTCTAATGTCTTTGAAATATTAAATTGTATTTTTTTAATGTTACACTTACTTGATACTTTTTGGAAAAATGTTTTGATATTTTTACATAATATTAAATACATTTTTTTTGACAAGGATGTTTTAACAGGAATCATTAACTCGATTAAATGTGCAAATATATAAATTATATTGTTACGCCCGTGCGGCCGATTTATGAAGTCGCGGACGCGCACACGCACTCCCGAATAGCTGAAATGAACAACACGAATGTTAAGAAAAAGAACAAGAAGCGTTTATTAATGCAGAATAGAACACCGCGGAAGATGTTAAATGAAGCAATCAAGAAATACGTTCGTTGCGCGGACAGCTCTAAATCTGATGATCTCATTGTCAACAGACGAATACCTAATCGTCTCGACAACGCGTGCTCTTCGCTACACCACGGGCGCCGGCAAAACACGAGCATAACACTATGTATATTAATTATAATGTTTAAAAGAAAAGGTTTGGCTTTTGTATAATAAGCAACCTTGATATTGTTTAAATAGATCCTTGCTTAGAAACAATAAAGTGCTTAATGATAACTTAAGAACAAATAATGTCTTATATAGGATATATATTATCTGTGGTATTATCTGTTTTATTAAAATTTTATCCAGGCAAGCCATAGTTCTTAATTCATCTTGGAATATCGTTTGAAGAAAATTTTAAGTGATCAAAGCATTTTGGACTACTACGTACGCCATCATAATAGTATATTTCAGTTAGTCATCCTAATAATATTTTTCAAAAATCGTTTTAAATAATTCAGGATTTCCATGATATTAATTCACACCGAAAAAATTATATCACTTGAAAAATGTACTTAATATTTCCTCTTAACAAGTATATGAATATTTTCTCTTAAATTGATAATATATTCTTGATTTGGGAAGGCGATCGCTACATGTGCGCTTTTTGATGTCCTCCTTAAAAGCATGCAACTTTTGTCTAAAACATTTTTCTTTAAAATGTATTGTTCAAAAGAGATTTGAAATTATCATTTAAAATAGGATATTCTGTATATATATA